TCTGGCTCATACGGATCTTGTTCTGAAAGCTGGAATAGGAGAACCCCATCCCCACCGTGGCCTGCCGGCCGACGCGAAGTCCATACCTACAGAGTAGACCACCACTTATTTGTAGGAGAGAATCCGTCACAGATGTGATCGAATGTTACTGTGCGACAATGAGGAGACAATCCTCTACTAATCCCCAAATAAATCTTTAATTTCGGAGAACGATTGAGAACTTGTATTTTCCGTGCGACTGTAATACGGCTCCATCTCACAGCTGGCATGTATTGTCTTTGCAAACTTCATAGGGGGTGAATAAATAGTCAACAAATCGAGAACCCCGCCACAAATTCCTCCGGATGATTCCAACGAGTATTGAAGGCAAAATTGAGCTCTGTTCTCGGAGAGCGAGTTTGGAATTTCTTGCTGCAGCTGATCAGTGGGAACCGAAGCTTTGGGATCCAAGCTTGAGAGCTTCCGATGCTGGGCCAGGTAGTGGACGATGGAGATTCAGAACTCTTCGGGTATACACTTTGAATGAGAGCCCTCCTAGAGCTCACTACGCACTGTTGACTACGATAGCAGCCGGAATAGACTATCCCAAACAGAGATTCCAACGATGGGTTCCAAAATATGCCACGGATCGGCGACGACACGGAGCTGATGCGTCTATACAACCCTGCTGAAGACTCAATACTCCGAATAGAGGCTTCAATCCGTGTGAAGTCCATCTCTCAAGACTAATTTGACGGTAGGGCTTGCATTGGGTCGCTCGGGCTGGAATCGGACATTCCGGGGACGAGAGTCGATCGTGAGTCACCCTGCATGCTGACCCGGTACCAGCTAGTCTCTCAAGGCTGCTGAGCGTGGGGTTTTTTAGCGCTGAGTCCGTCCCGCTCACAGTGGAGGATGCAGTTCTAATTTTCCGGATCAGGGCCGAGCGGGAAGGATATGAATGGCGTTCCACCAAACATGCGGTTGAGCGGCTCTGCACATCTCGGGATGACTCGCAGCGAGGCGTCTCGCGCTCGGATTCCCGAGATCCCGGAATCCCTGTCTCGATAATCTTGAGTCTGTCCATCGAAGTGAAAATCTCGCCGAAGTGTCTCCTCATGTGACTTCGTATTGAGACGACAGCAGTCAACTCCCACTCCCGGAAGAGATTCGATCGTTCCGGAAAGCCAAAGTCTAAAAGCGCTCAAAGACTGAATGCGCTCGCTTATATAAGCGCTTTGACTGAATGCGCTCATGACTCGATGCGCTTATGACTCCATGCGCTCGGGACTGAATGCGCTATGACTATGAGCGCTCATGACTAAATGCGCTTGAGAGTGAATGCGCTAAAATATTTATTGCGCTCAAGGTTGAGTTGCGCTCATGCTAAGTGCGCTCAAGGATGAGTTGCGCTCATGACAAGTGCGCTCATGTTAAATCGTAGTTAGAATGCTTGAGGAGCAGCGCCTCGAATCGTAATACTTCTTTCGCGATTCCACCAACTATTAGGTCAGGTTAGGTTAGTTCCCCGGGCGAGCGAAGCGAGCATATTCGGAAGCTATGACAGGCGAGCGTAAGCGAGCATATTCGCAGCTATGACATTGTGAGGCGGACTAAACCTAGGTCAGTGAGGTGGGGGGGCAAGATTAGTTAGGCCGCGAAGCGGCCTAACTAATTATTCCCCCCCACCGCACTTACGTAGGTTTATAGCCGAGCCACATCCGGAACTATGTATGCCTTCACTATGAACGAGCGCATATAGTCGTGAGCGCATATAGTCGTGAGCGCATTCTTTTAGAGCGCAAATAGTCTCTGAGCGCAAGTGTCCCGAGCGCATATAATCTTATAGCGCATTTAGTCATGAGCGCATTCAGTCCCGAGCGCATTCAGTCATCAGCGCATTCAGTCGCAGCGCATTTAGTTATGAGCGCATCGAGTCATGAGCGCTTTCAGTCGTGAGCGCATTCAGTCTTTGAGCGCTTTTAGACTACACCCCATAGAAAACCTCAATGGCTCGCGATTTGGTATCCGCGGCCTCGGTAGTCAGTGCTCCAAGATACCCCCGGAAAGCGATCCCCCG